AATAAAATTTTAATTTAAAATTTTCAGTACTATTTAAAACATTATTTCCTATAGTAAGAGAATTAATATTAGAAATTTCTAATCATTAAATACCTTAGGGAAAGGGCACCTGGGTGGCTCAATTGGTTAAGTGTCCAACTCTTGATTTTGGCTCAGCTCACGATCTCATATGAGTCTGAGCCCCACATTGGGCTCTGTGCTGACAACGCAGAGCCCTCTTGGGATTCTCCCTCTCTCGGCCCTTCCACCCACTTGCGCTGTTGCTGTCTCTCACAATAAATAAATTAAAAACAAACAAACAAATAATAAATGCCTCAGGTAAAACAAAATTTTTCTTAAGCATTTAAAAAATAAAAATTAGGTTAAGCATCGGGGGGCTCAGTCCCACAAACCTTGAGATCACGACCTGAGCTAAAATCAAGAGTTGGACAATTGATCAACTGAGCCACCCAGGTGCCCGAGAAAACAAAGTTTTATGAAATTAAATACTTTTGAAAATCCAGGAAAATACCATCTAGCAGATAGAGGGGAAGGATAACAAGAGTAAACAGTACATTCAGAAACAGGTAAAAGGCCAAGTAAATTAAGAAACATCTACTTAGCAACATGGCATGAGAAATATCAAGTATGAAAGCTATAAATATGTATAAACTGGGAAGAAAGTAAAAATTCATGTATACAATAATCATTATTTAAATTGTAGATACAAACAATACCAAAAATAATACAAACAAAAATCTGCATAAGTAAAGGTGGGTAAGACAAATTGGCCAATAGAATAGAAAAGGGACTAACTACATTCCCATGTGTACACACACACACACACACACACACACACACACACACACACGAATTAAGTATAACAGAAATGGCACTTCATAACATAATAAGAGACAGACTGAGTCACTGATTAATCATTAATACATGACAAGGGACATTCACTATTACTTTCAATTAGATCTCTATGTCACATCATAAACAAAAAAAAATCCTAATGGATAAAAATATTAGGGGAAAAAACAAAGAAAAAGAGCAAAGTATTTTTACAGTAATGAATTGAGAAGACCACCTTAACTATATCCAGAAAGCCCAAAATCTACAAAAACAAAGACAAATATTAACATACAAACTTAGAACCAAAGAGAAAAGTAGTTAAAGGATATAGGAAATTTGAAACGGAAATAAAATGGCTAGGTTTTTTTGTTTTTTTTTTTTTAAGTAGGCTTCATGCCTGACACTGCTTCATGCCCATCACAGGACCCAAACTCACGACCCTGAAATGAAGAGTCAGATGCTCAAGCAACTGAGCCACCCAGGCGCCGGGCAATAAATATTTTTAAAAGATGACCAATCTGAGTGAACAAAAAAATAATTTATAAAGTATCTGATATGCAAAAATTTAAAAGATCACTGATAGTAAGTGCTAGGTTACACAGGAAAAGATGTACTCCTACGATACGGAGTTTAAAAAGGCAGAACCTGGGGCACCTGGATAACTCAGCTGGTTAAGTGTCCGACTTCAGCTCAGAGCCTGGAGCCTGCTCCGGATTCTGTGTCTCCCTCTCTCTCTCCCTTCCCCGCTCACACTCTTGTCTCTCTTTCTCTCAGAAATAAACATTAAAAAAAACACAAAAAAAACGCAGAGCCTTTACACCTGAAACTAATATAACACTGCATCAACTATATTCACACATACATACATACATAAATAGATGCAGCACAAAAAAATTTTAAAAATTGAAACGGCAGAATGCTTTGGTGGGCTTGAGTATACTGTCAACACTTAAACATACATTCCCTTGGACCCAGATTATTTTATTCTGCTTCTAAGAATCAATCCCACAGATACACCTGCACAATTATACAGGCCTGATCACCAGGATGGGATGTTCTCTGCAGCACTATATATAATGCACAAAACTAATAAAAGCAACTCAGTGGCTGCAATCTAACGCCATGAGAAGAGGGACAGACTTAAATAAACAACATTCATACAATTAATATTATGCCTCATTTAAAAAAATGAGCTAAATAAGAACATACTGATGTAAGACTGCAAAAGATAAACACAGTCCTCTATGAAGTCCATCCTGATTTCCAAACCTTAGAACTATAATTTAAGAGCCATCAATCAAATTGTGATTTCCAATTTTCTATGTAAAACTACTCCATAAACTAGACAAAAAATTTTCTATGGAATCCTAGCACACTGTCAGTGTACAATGACATAGATAGGGATTTGATAAAAGCATGTTTTCTTATACTGACTGTATCATGAAAAAGAATCCAAAATTGAGCATCAAAGACATTACCTTACTGAATGTGAAAGAATTTCTGATCTCTGCATTTTTCCCTCTCCAACAGTATCAAAATCAAAATGTCACTTTACGTTTCCTATCCATGAATGCCTTCCAAAATAAGCTAGGTGAACAAAAGTTAATGCAATAATTTTAACTTCTAAATGGTGAAATATGATTTCTACAACAATCTATGACATGGATTTTATAAATACAAATTAGATTAATAGTGCATTTAGACAGTTATCTGCCTAATAACCAGCTAAAGTTCCAAAAATGATTCATAATACCCAAAATTTTTAAAAACACTTCATCTTTTCATTCATTACAAATGCTTTAACAGCAACCTCCTTAAAAAACATGAAATAGACAATCCCTGAACTGATACTTTAAATTTTTGTTCCATTTAAAGAAAAAAAAACCAAAAAACAAAAAACGAAAAACCAGTGAGTCATCAATACCTGGTCAATGACAGGTGATGCTCAAAGATGCAGATAACTGAAAACTGTCTGATGACATCACAGCTTACATGGGAAGTATAAATCTTGACCTCTCTGTCTCAACTTCAAAGTGATGCCACCTACTTGACACAAAAAATGTCTAAATATCTAAAATCATTTCCATAATCTTCTGAGAAAGAAATCAGTTATAAATGATAATTTACAGAGTTCTGTAGAATGACTTCCTGATTTATTAGAGATGTAAATTTTTTTTTACTTGTAAAAAAATGTTTAGCATAATTTAGGTCGTCTGTTTTTACTATGATAATATCCACGCTGAAAAACAAAAACGTTCCTAGAATACTTTAAGACAGTGATTTCTCTGAAGAGTAGATTCCTCTGAAGAGAGAGGAAGCAGAAAGAACTGGATAGGGTTTCAGTGTTTGCTTTGATCTTACATTTCTTTAAGTAAAACCCGGAAGCAAATGTGTCTTTTGGAGGCGGAGTCCCCGGGTTCTTAACAATTTACAATCTCTTTGTGACCTTGGGCAAGTTATGTAATTTCCCTGTGCCTCAGTTTCTTTACCTGTAAAGTGGGGATAATTCTTCCTGCTATGTAGGATTAAATGAGCTGACAGATGTGACATGCTTACAATAGCACCTGACACATGGTAAATGTTACTGTTATTATTATCATCAACCTCATCACCAGAACTATCAACTACGCAATCTAGCTGAAAGGAACTGGGAAAAGAGGTAACTGGAGGGTGACATCTGATCTATTCCTACACTTATATTTCAAACATAAATTCTATTTTTGTAACCAGTAATAAATAACCAACTTAAGTGAAAAAGCATACAGTAGAAAAACAAAGTTTCAGTCTTGAATCTTCAAAAACATGAGACGATACAGGCTTTGGAGTTTGATATTTATTTTTAGCAGGAAGAATATGCTAATGATGATGACATCGTTAGAAGATACGCCCATGTCCAATACCTGCAACAGAAGCTCAATAGAAGTTAAAGAAACCATACCAAAAGGCTAAAGACAAGAATTGCACATTACTTACCCTTAATTCTGCTAACAGTAAAACAAGTACAGTAGGTTTAAGACAAGTTGCATCACAAGATCAAAACTGGCAAGTTACGTATCACATGTATCTTTTTAAAATTGTTTACCTTTTCCTTTTTATGTACAATTGGGAAACCTTTCTAAAGGTGGAGCATGGTGCCAACAACTTTGCTCCACACTGAAAAGGGGTAATGCTAAATGAAGAGCTGAGAATTTGGGGTGGGAAAGCTCTTGATCAAACAGCAGGTCTCACAAGTAGAAGGGACAATCCTCTTTGGCATAGAGACTGCTAAAACAAGAACACTAAAAAGCAACTTAATAGAGGCAGTATCCTAACAGACCTACAAATTTACAGAGAACGGTTTAAATAAAGGGATCCAGACAAGTTAGAAATTCTATTACATCGAATTACAACAGGAAATTGCTACAGCAATAAACAATTTAAACAAGAACTAGTCAAAAAAGATTCTTAAAAAAAAAACAAAAACAAAAACAAATCTGGCCCATCTACCCACCAACAGCTACTCTGCTCAAAGAAAATATGAGAATGTTTCTTTTTTCACCCTGCACCTCCAGATTCATCAACTGCAGCAATCACCATTTAATTTAAAGGAGCGACTTTCTACCTAAGGGTGTGTATGAGCCAGGAGTGAGGTGGGAATATGTTAAGCATCAGAATCAGGGATGGAACAAAAGAGTAACTTAAAGACTGACTTTGTGAACAAAACTGATGAATTGTTCAGGGACTGGGAGAGGGGGACTAGCATACCCACAACAAATTCTATGCCAAAAAAACTCTTTTTATTTCTGAACTGTATACCTAAAAGCCTGCATGTATTCTGAACAGGAATTCAATAAATCCAACCATAATTTACTATAGATGACACCAGACTTCATACTAACTGCTATTTTCCCACTAGTTTTGTTCTTGAAGAGTTTAAACTCTTATGATGAATTACTATTACTGGGATTTCACAGCAATAATTTTAAAAAGCAGCCCGTTTCTGTAATTCCACATTTCTAAGTTTACTTAGGTTGACTTGGTCCAAGTAGAAAGAAGCCCTTTCCTGCAAGGAGAAGCTTACCTGGGTCACTGTCTAAAAATATGCAAAATGTACAGGAACAGAAATATTTTGAAATTCCTACCAAAAAATAAACAAATAAGCACTAAAGAAGGAAAAGGTTACGCACTTCCAATTTATGCTCTTTCTCTGCAAGGGCTTCCTTTTGACAACGAAGAAAATCTGCTAACATTCGAGTGAGTTGCTTCCTATCATCTATTTCAGCCGCCAATCTGCCATTGTAATCTGCCAGCAACATACAAGCATCCTCTACCATTTTAGAAAGCCTTTCTCCAGATTCTTTATCTAAGAAAAGCACAGAATAATAGAATTATTACACAACAAAAACAATGCCATATGTCGTTCCCTCACCCTGACTTCCAAAAAGTTCCAGATCACATTTTCTTTTCTTACCTGTTATTTTATCTAGTAGGGATACTTCTTGGACTTCAACAGGCAAAGACGCTATCCTCTGATGAACTGCTGCATCACCTGAAGCTGCATTCTCTAGATCTTGTAATGCTCTAACAAGATCTAGAGTCTAAAAAGTTACACAACTTTAGAACCAAAATAAATGAAGCTTAAACAAATACAAAAGACCTCAATTTTATTTCATATTCCTTTATCCTTATGGGCTATAACCTGTTTAAAGTTTCAAGTATAAACTGCTTTTAAAGATAGTCCATTTCTTTTATATATTAAGAAAAAGAAACTATACTATGTTAGTCATTGGAAATATATAAATTGGAAACTAAAATAAGACATGGCCCTCAGCTTTGAGGAAGTCATACTCAAGCAATGGAGACAGTGTAAAAATAATTACTGGGCTCTGAAAGTGACATGGTTGATTTATATGCCAAATACATACAGTGGTAGAAGGGAAAGCAGGCTATAACTTCAACCTAGACGTTACACGTTTTACATATGACATATTCATTATATTATTATACATGAGAATTTTTAATACTAAATTAGATATTGGGGGAAGGAGGATACAAATCATGTTCTGCTACAACACAGAAGGGTCTCACAAAGTCTATTTCTAAATGATGTACTTAAAGCACAAAAGCAATGTAGTTTTGCAATATGTTCAAATATGGTTATCTTCAACTATCCTACAGTTTGCTAATAAGATCATTAAGAGATCACAAAACTCCATATATCTGACGGCTAATACTTATACTACACTTAACCAATGTAAAAATTATTTTATCATTAGAATATTTTACTTATACTGTTTTCATATAAGATATAATTAGGAAGAAAGGGCAAGTCTTTGCTGATAATTTCACAATTCATAATATTTATAAATTTACTCCAAAGAAAAATGAATATTTTATTTTTACTGGTTTCCATCCCCGTCCACCTCCTTTTTTTTTAATCTCTAAAACTAGTTCCTGGAACAGTAGGACATTATACACACACTTGAAAAATATAGGATATAACCAATTCTGTGAATACATTGAGATGACACTGATAGTTACTGATTTTTCTTTAAGCTATTCCCTGACCAAAAAAAAAAAAAAAAAAAAAAAAAAAAAAAAAAAATGCTATCACTGGGGTCTAGCACACAGTAGATGATCCAGCATGATAACAATGAATGACACCTAATAAATATACTATCCCATGTATGCTTCTAATTCGTTACTATGTTTTTAAAATTCTATTATTTTACAAAATAATTTTGTTATAAGATACATCCCCCCTACAAATGAAAGTGAGCTTAAGAGCAATGACGATTATCATGAAGCTTTTTTTCTCGTGGGCCCCAATTAACTTTTATATTGTCATTTCTTAATGAGTCCTAGAAAGTTCTAAAGCTTTCTGAAGTTCTGAAAAGTCATCTGGCTTTATGGTCCTGATACGCATGCTTTCATCTCACATTCACATTCCCACATGAGTTAATTCTAAGTTTCTAGTGCTGGGTCAAAGATCAGATAAAAAAGCACAGTTGTCTGAAAACAACACTAGCCTACAACTTTCTAATAGAGGAGAATGAAATGAGTTCAAGCGGATCCTACGAAGAGAAATTTTAGTCATTCTTATAAAGAATGACACAAAATGGTAACTACAAAGCTGAACCACTGAAAATTAAGCAGTACAACTAATCTGAAAATAGTCATCATAAAATGAAAAGCAACAGTGTTTTATTTAAGTACTAGATACTCCTAAGAAGTACAAGTGGAGTTAGTCTGTCATCAGGGAAAATAAAAAAGGATCAGACTCTGTATCTAAAACTCAGATAAAATACTGTTCATGGAATCATAAAAGGGCCTGTTGCACAAAGTGCTTTGTCTTAAATTATTACCAAATAGAAAAAAATATACACCTTAAGGTTTGGTTGTTCAAAACATTATGTTCTTATTACTTTTTTATTCAAGCTCTTGTCCCTGGTGATCATATGGGCTTCAGTACCGCCCATCAATGAGTGAACAGGCAGTTTGGTTCAGGTCCCAGCTGAGCACCTTGGTCAGATTCTTTCTGCCTCCCCAGTACTACTACGAATATACACACAAAGTTCTAGGCAGTGATTGGTTCTATCTTTCTTTCTAGCTCCTTTCACTGGGGAAAGAGTTTCAACCAGCCTCTGGCTGCATGCAGTGAATTCAGGTCCAGTCCTCCAACTCCCATGGAGCACTGTGAGTTCTTATTACCCTACAGGATACTTATTTCTGGAAAGCCATGTCTGTTTCCTGACCAAAGCTCAGCAAGAACCAGGCTCTGGCCCACATATTGAATTGTGCTTCTGTACCATTTCTAGTCCACAAAGATATTTACCTTGTTTTATGAGTATGGCTATGTCTTCATTTTCTCCTTTTAAATTTTATCTGTCCCTCCTATATGTTTGAAACATAGAAGGAGGAAGCTTTAACACTCAATGCCCACATAATTAAAAGTTAAAAATGTTTTTCTGGAATCATTTGATGGCTAAGGAATGCTATACTGTACCAACCTGGGAGGACATGGGGTATTAAGATAATAACTCTAATCTGTCTTATTTTACCATGGAACTATATGGTTCTATATAGTTACATGGAACTGTATGAGTACATGCTTGCTGCTATAACACTCATTTTTACAAGTTTAAAAGCAAAAATACAGTAAAGGGCAGTTGTATATCTCTAAGAATGGCATTCTCAGTGTAGTTAAATCATACAACAAAGGGTTTATCATACAATGTTTCATTTATTTAAAAGGAAACTATTTAAGTGACAGATATCTCACCAGACCTAATCATACTTAGCAATCAGATAACCTCTTTCTATGTAAAATATAACTGCCTAATATAAAACATACAACATACCATAATAAACATAAGCAATCTGTTAATCAGAAGAGATATTCACAAAGCTTCTTTCTTGCACTCAGAATTATAATAAAAGTCAATTTATATTAGTAAAACCTCAAAATTAATAAAGCTTAGTGGCCACATGAAGTAATAGTAACACAACTCCCTTAACAGACAAAAACTTCTACCTGTGGTGGTTCACTTGGAGATCCCAGAGAGGAACAGTTTTCATTTTCATCCACCTTTATCTGTTCATAAGTTCGCTTCCTAGGCTTCTTATCGCCATCTGAATTGAAAGAACATCAAAAGTTTTAATGAAAGGAAACACTTTAATGGAGAGATCACGATAAAAGATTACACACTTACACAGAGCTTGCTTAAGTTGTTCTAACACATCATTCTCATAAACAGACCTTTCTTCCCAAATAGATAATACCCTTCCAAGGTGCTTCTTACAACTTTCATCAGTTTCACTAAAGAAAAAATAAAAATATTAACAATTAACAGTGTTACTGAAAAGGCAATGGTGATTTAAAATACAGTCAGACATTCATTCTCTGAGAAAAAGCAGTCCAAATTTTTACTGAGCACGACTATGTGATCAGAAGTTCAGAGTGAAGTGATCAAGACAGACATACTCCCAGCTTCCTTTAAAAGCTTACAGACATTTTTGTTTAAGATTTTATTTTTAGGTAATCTCTACACCCAACATAGGGCTCAAACCTACAACCCTGAGATCAACAGTCACACGCTCTGTCAACTAAGCCAGCCAGGTGCTCCCAGACATCTTAATAAACAAAAAATTACCAAAAAAAGTGCTTGTACAAGCTACAGGTGTTTATAGAGAAGATGCCCTTAACCTAATGGCGGCTGATTATGAGGCCAAGAAGATTTCAAATAGGTGATTTTTAAATTTATTTAACAAATATTTATTGATCAAGGCAGTATCTTTGACACTGGAGACACAAATGGAGCTTTATGGCAGCTGTTATTTACAAGTGCCACAAAAAAGAACCAAGTATTAAAGAGAAGCATCATGCAGAGATCTGGCCCAGTTCAAGAGAGATTAGAAAAGGTATCTGAGCAAGCAGTATTTGAGATCTGAGGACTGGAACATCAAGGAAGTGGCAAACAGACTTCTCCCAACCACATCCTACTGCCTTCATCACTACCACTGCAGACTGAACTGCTATTACCTCTTGTCTGGATTTTTAAAGTCTTCTCATTGGTGTCCTCAGCTCTTACTCTTCACTCTATGCTCTACTATTGTAAATCAAATCATAATGCTCTTCAATCTGCTAAGAGCTATCAATCATACCAAAAATAAAACCAAAAAGCTTTATCCCAGACTATAAGGTAGATATGTTCTGCTTTCTGGCTACTTCTCAGTCCACATTCCCTTAATACCTTCTGCCATACAATTCTCCCTGCTGATGCTCAAACATGCCCAGCACACAACTGTCTCATTGTTTCTGCCAAGTATTCCCTCTACCTAGAATCCTTGTCTTTTAGATGCTCTAGTGACTCATTTCATCCTTTCCTTCAAATGCCACCTATCCAAAACTTTATCTCATAAGATAAAGTTCTCATGAGCACTGTCATACTCTCTAGTTCTTCCTTACTTTGCTTCTTCACATTACTTATCTACTGGCATAATATATATTCATCTGTCCACCTAGTTATTACTTTGGTCAAAAACTAAAATGTAAGCTCCACTAGGACAGAACTTTATCTTATTCACTACTGTATCGTCAGGGCTAGCACACAGTAGGCAGTCAAGAAATATTTTATTGAATTCCTTGGGAGAGGCAACATATATAAAAACCTTAAGGGAGAAAGAACTTAAAGAGGTTCAGTTAGCTTCAACTGTGGACTATAAAGCGTGGGTGTGTGGAAGGAACGTGAGACATGTGTCTGAAGATGTACACAGGGCCATGAAGAAGCATCATCACCTTAAGTCCTGCTCAGGACTTCAGACTTGATCTCTGGGATCAAGTTTTGAGAACTCAAAGGCAAGGGAGTGTTGTGATCAGCTCTGCAACTGTGGCTAGTTTCCTAAATGGATTAAACAACACTAGAGGTTCTTGCAAATTATATAGAAATGACATTATAGAAAAAATCTAAACTGTGGGAACTATATATACTACATGGATAAGGGGAGTGAAAGAGAAAGGAGAATGTGATACACTATAAATTACACTATCAAAGAAAGTTTAAGATGACACCTAGTTTCTCATATGGGCATCCAGATAGACGGAGTTGCCATTCACTGGGAGAGTGAAACCTGAAGGAGGAGCAAGTCTGACAGGGGCGCAGTGATGTGAATTCAATATGAGACAGAGTCCATCTGAGATGTCTGGAAGCATACAAGTAGAAATTCCTTAGGCAATTAGACACCACAGGTCTAAAACAAAACACATCCAGTGGCCCCTGGATGGCTCAGTCAGTTAAGCGTCCAACTTCGGCTCCGGTCTTGATCTCACAGTTAATTGAGTTATTAGGGTGTGTAATAACTAAATATATGCAGTGTATGAAATCACCCAAAGGTCAAGTGAAGAATATGACCATAGGAAGAGGGACTAGGACTGAACTCTTAAAAAATGGCAACATCTGAAAAGATGGTAAGACAGTATCTAAATTGAAAGATAAATAATGTTCATTTAAGAAAGTAACATATGGTAGTATTTCATACACTGTAGTTTTTAAAAAATGCATCCACTATGACTGAAGTTTTTGGGCATGTGGTGAGCATATTTTCATCCTTAAATCATTCAGCACAGATCTTCACTTACCACTGAATTCTGTAATTTAGACTGATTTAACAGTCTACCCCAATAATGTTTACCCAGAAATCTACCAAACATTTGCATATGTTTGGAAATAAGCATTTAAAAAGAGCATAAGCCAAAGCACCAACTTTTACCCTTAGAACTTTTCTGTAGCAAAATTTTTCAACAGGCTTATAATTATTCTAAATAAATTCCTGTACTTCCAAAACACTTTAAAGTATTATGATATATACCCAAACACTAAAAAAACTTTCAAATTATATGCAAGTAAAGGGTACAACGTTTATCCAGAAATAATAGCTGGAAAACAGACAGCTTTATAAGCACACAGTTTTCAATTCAATACTCATTCATTCTTAATGAAGTCCATTCCAAAATGGCAGTTGCTTTTTTCGGTCTCTTAAAGGAAAATTGTTAATTCAAGTACTCCAAAAGCCTACCACTTTGTGACAGTTCAAAAATTTTCCTTTACAGAAAGTATTTAACACATTTATAAATGCCATTTATAGTTAAGTCTTTTCAAATGAAAATTTCAAAGAAATACATTCTCTGTTTTTTTTGTTTGAATGGCTTACAGTAAATTTTAACAAAAGGCCATACTATGCATTTAAAACATTACCTAGTACCCAAAACAATTATCATACCTTGAAACATGTTTAAAAGCCTCCACTATAACTGGCGCAAAATCTTTTGTAAACTCCGGCCCCTTCCTTTTGCTGTTCTGAATGACATCATTGGCTAGGTAGAGAAAAGTAAGCTTCCTGTTTGGTTTGGCTGAAAAATAAAAAAAATTAAAAATCTACTTAAAATATCCTCATTTAAGTTAGACAAACATTCTCAATATCTGAATGAAGCAGTTTGAGAACTACAACATGGCTACTAACCTTTATGTAATATATTCAACTCTAGCTTCTCATTCTACTACCAAAGTCACAATTCTTTACCTCACTAGGTTTCTATAATTTCTGGAGATGGATCATGTGAGGAAAAAAGAGGACTCAAGAGGCAGAGAAAATCAATAATTAATCTGTTTCCTTGCACTTTTACCAAACTGCCCAAAATACTTACCCTTGATTCCTAGTCTTACCACAATTCCCAAATTAATAGTTTTATACACTGAATCCTCATCTCTGTAAAACTGCATCTCTGTAACTCTTTCTGTACTAAATTTTGCTAAAACTATTAAACACTACCTGAAATAAAGCTTATTTAAAGTAAGATGGGACGCCTGGGTGGCTCAGTTGGTTAAGCATCTGACTTTGGCTCAGAGGTCATGATCTCATGATGTGTGGGTTCAAGCCCTCCATCAGGCTCTGTGCTGACAGTTTGGAGCCTGGGGCCTGCTTCAGATTCTGTGTGTCCCTCTCTCTGACCCTCCCCCGCTCATGCTCTGTCTCCCTCTCCCTCAAGAATAAACATTTTTTAAAAAATAAAGTAAGATGGCAACTGGTACCATTAAAATGGTACCCTAAATCTTGAATTTGTTTTAATACCCACGTTGACTTTACAGTCGATCATTAAGTTACTGTGAAACAAGAGAACAAAACATAAAATAGGTTGAAAGAAACATCACTTCAATAATTATGGATTTTGTTTATGAAATAAATATTTCCCAAGCTAACGGACTAAATGTTAGAGAGACCAAATGGGTGGTTTAGATTTTCCCCTGCTTTGAATTACATGACCTTAAATAACCGAATTCATCTTGACAAAAATATGTCCCTACTCACTATATTCTGTGGGAGTAGTCATCCTTCTAAAAAGAACAGAAAAGATTTCAACAATTATGGGCCAGAATACATTTTTACTGGTTACAAGGTTAAGTGGCTTATTATTAAGTATGACTCAAGTAAGAGTCTTACAAATAGGTAAAATTTAGTTAGCTGAACATGATCTTTTGTACTATTTTCATAACGTAATTTTATCAGAATTAAATCTAAATTATTCAAAGTTGTACCATCATATTCAGAAACACTGTACTTTGTGGCATCCACATTCAATGATGGAGGAAACTTCTGGTCAGGAATGATAATCCAGTGCACCATTAATGTTGGCCACTTACTGGTTTTAAGACAAAAACAGGCAGGCTATATTTGGTCCTCTAGATTTGAGTATTCAGTTTAAGTGTTCAATGCATTAAAAGCGATTTCTGAGTTCACATCTTTCTTGAGGGGAAACTAGTAACACGATCTTACAAGAAACTAAAATACTGAGTTAGAGATGACCAGACTTTACAAACCTATGCTATCTGCTGCAGAATCTTGTTTGCCTATCTAAAGATGTGGCCCCACACTTTCATGTTTTTCAAAGTCTTGGAATAGAATAGAGATATGAAAGAGATGGCAATAACAAAGACCAACTTCTGATTTTTTTTTGGCTTGTCTGGTTAGATAAACTATACAGTATAACTGGTGAAGATACTGAACCTTTTCCCATGAAGATGACAATAATGTCAACTTTCCCAATATTCAACCCTATTTTTTTTTTTTTACCTAACCCTGCCCAAAGAAAATCTTACCCAAAGGAAAGGTTAATATTACTTAATCCAAGTATTTGCTTTCTCAGCATCAAAATGATTTTAAAAATTCAAATTTGTGTTATTACCCAATTGGGAGAGCATCTGCAGTACTTTGAATGGGTACCTGAACCAATGGGCTCCTTTTCCTAAATAACAGTAACATTCAGCAAACTTTTACTATGTGTTACACACTATGCTAGGCACTTTACGTATAATTTACATTTAATACCTAATTTAATCCAAGGAATGTGAGGTACCATTATTACCTTCATTTGGCAGTTTAACAAATTGGCATCAAAAGGGTTAATTGCCCACAGTGAAATATCCAGGAAGGGATCAGCCAGGATTTGAATCCAAAGTCCAACACCCAAGCTTCCCTCTTAATAACTGGACTATGCCTCTTATGACTATGTTATAAATGAAAGAGAATGTTACCTTTGGAAAAGATCAAGGAGCAACTCAATCAAAATATTTTAAAATGTTAGCAGCATTATTCACAACAGCAAAAGGTAGAAACAATCCAAGTATCCATGGACAGATAAATGAACAAAATGTGGTACATCGATATAAATGGAATATTATTCAGCCTTAAAAAGAAAGGATCCTGGGGCGCCTGGGTGGCTCAGTCAGTTAAGCAGCCGACTTCAGGTCATTATCTCGCGGTTCACGAGTTCAAGCCCCGCGTTGGGCCCTGTGCTGATAGCTCAGAGCCTGGAGCCTGCTTCAGATTCTGTGTCTCCCTCTTTCTCTCTGTCCCTCCCCTGCTCAAGCTGTGTCTCTGTGTCAAAAACAAACGTTTAAAAAAAAATTTTAAGAAAGAAAGAAAGAAAGAAAGAAAGAAAGAAAGAAAGAAAGAAAGAAAAGAGAAAAGAAAAGAAAAGAAAAGGAAAGGAAAGGAAAGAAAAGAAAAGAAAAGAAAAGAAAAGAAAAGAAAAGAAAAGAAAAGAAAAGGAAAGAAGAAAGGACATCCTGACACAGGCTACAACATGAATGAACCTAGAGGATATTACGCTAAGTGAAACAAGTCAGTCACAAAAAGACAAATACTATATGGTCCTGCTATATGAAGTACCTAGAATAGTTAAATTCAGAGACAGAGAGTACAATGGCTATTGCCAGGGGCTGGGGGAAGAAAGGCATAGAGAGTTACTGTTTAATAGGTATAGAGTTCCAGCTTTGTAAGATGAAAAGTTCCAGTTTTGGAAATGGATCGTGATGATGGTTTCGTAACAGTGTGAATGTACTTAATACCAATAAACCACTTAGAAATGGTTAAAATGGTAAATTCTGTTATGTGTACTTTACTATGCAAATTTAAAAATGTGTATTTTACAGTATTTTTTAAATCCATGGGCTACCATCTCTTAAAACTAATGCAGAAAAGTTACTACAATATACATTAAAGCAAAAATTCACAAGATTTCAAACTGCAGTTCCCAGTGTATTCCAAAAACAAACCATACCAGGAGCGTGGATTTGGTATGGGGTACAAATATCAAGACATTATTTTCATTTTGTTTCCCTTGTGGAATCCAGGCTAAAATATGAGACATACCTACAAACTGCTGTAATGTATACTCTTTTCCAAGTTTTCAGTGAAAAAACTTACTTTCATTTAAAGCTAGGTGTACCTGGGGCGCCTGGGTGGCGCAGTCGGTTAAGCGTCCGACTTCAGCCAGGTCACGATCTCGCGGTCCGTGAGTTCGAGCCCCGCGTCAGGCTCTGGGCTGATGGCTCAGAGCCTGGAGCCTGTTTCCGATTCTGTGTCTCCCTCTCTCTCTCTGCCCCTCCCTCGTTCATGCTCTGTCTCTCTCTGTCCCAAAAATAAATAAACGTTGAAAAAAAAAATTTTTTTTAATAAAAAAAATAAAATAAATAAATAAATAAAGCTAGGTGTACCTTTATGTAGAGCAAATTAAACTAAAGGAACTAATCAAAACAAGCAATTCCAGAAGAAAATTACAAAAATGACTTTCAAGTGAATTTTGATAATTTGAAAATAACAGGGCCATAAATTTTTATTAAGGCATACAAAATTAACAGAAAGAGCAACAAACCATTTCATAATTCCTTAAAGAAAAACTGTTGGCAATAAGGCTTAAAACCGAGTCTGATCTAGTCACTTCTTTTATTTCTACTGTCACAGGGTTCCTTATTTTCCAAATCTTCCATTCAATTTAAATAGCGTCCCATGCTGGGCACAGATCAAAAATAACCTTTCCTATTCAATCAAGAGCTTGTAAGCTCTATATAAACTGGTACGTGATAGGTCACATCACTAAAAATGTAAGTTCTCTTTCTTTATTCCCTCTCTCCGACGATGTATCACACAAACACTGGAAACAATCTTAAATACAATATTATGTCCCAGTGTATCTGTATGTGTCTGTACTGCTATATTTGCACCAATAAAGTATAAGCAATTAAGGACCGGTCAATATTTATATTGTGAGGAACCATTTTCTTATATCTCACCTGTCTGAACTATAAATTTTAAGCTACTCTGGGTATTAAGTATAGCCCCTTTTCCTCGGACCTTGTATGTAAACAGGTACATCAAAACAAATAAAAATAATAAAATCTGGCTAATATGTGAGGACATCATATTACCTAAAATGTTAAGCATATCCCCTAAAGGGCAATAGAAGTTCAGTTCGTCACACAAGTAAGAAAGAGTTACATAATTCACATAATTCAAATAAAAAAAAGATCAACTACAAGGCTTCAAAAAGAAGAGTCTGGGCTATTAGATAAACAATATGAAACAAACTTAATTAGTCAAAGTACTACATAAATTCCACCTAGTTTCACTAATTCATAATCAGTTCAGAATTCAGTTTTACTTATTCATAATCAGGAACCAACAACATTACTTATTTTCTTACACTGTACAAAGCATATACCTATTCATTTTGACATAATACAGAATATTATAATATAATTTAATCACCCATGTTTTTACAGGGACTGAAATTTAAAATCACAGATAATAATGCCAATAAATACAACAAATAGCTAAAATTTTACTGTGTTACCTATTAACACAAGAACACTCTTTACAGAGGAAGCCCTATAAATGGGAGAAGCAGCAAAAAAACTGAATAAATGGGTGTCTGGTGACTCAGTGGGTGGAGCATCAGACTTGGCTTTGCCTCAAGTCATTCCCAGGGTCGTGGGATCACGTGGGGCATTACACTGAGCATGAAGCCTGCTTAAGATTCTCTCTCCGTCTGTCCCTCCCCTGCTCTCATATTCT